TTTTTGTGTTGCTGTATCATTAGCAATACTTCATTGTACATATTTTCTTATGAAATGTCAAAATGTCAAACAACAATTAAACTCAGTATAAAAACACAGTCTTGCAATCACGATCTCAGAAGTCGTTAGTATTTCCTTAAACCAAAAGCGTGATTTGAAAAATTTGCTCGTCATCTTAATTGAATTTTTCACTGGAATTAAAGCTGGCAATACACATATACATAAATATGTATAAATACATATATACTACTCTGCACAAGGTTGTTCGTTGGTGCGAATGCAAATGTGAAAGGTGCGGTTATAAATACACAACCAATTCAGCGCCAACTAACCTATTGACTGCTGACCTAACCCACAGTCATAAATTAACGAAGCACACGAAAGTCAAAAACATTTGCTAAATACACACATACATATGTGTGTATAAACACTGTGTACCCACAAAAAATATATAAACAGTGTGTACCACTTATATGCATGCGTCTATGCTTCGAGTGCGAAAGATGCCCAAAGTGGGGAGTTAAAAATGTTGAAAATTAGAAAACAAATTGGTAACCGATTGCGAATAAAACTTTTCTGGTATCAGAGCATCTATTTTAAATTATTTGTTCATTTTATGAAATGAAAATAAAGCAAATAAACAAAACTGTGTTGCGGCTCACTGCACTCTACGTGTTAGTAGGTGCCTTATGAATTAAGTTCCTTGGTAGCAAATAGTTTATGTAAGTAACTGTCTCAATTATTTCGAATATGTTGGTGTTGATTGCGTTAGCACTATGCTATGCAGCAAATATAAAATGTATATGGCAACAGCAGAGTATACACGGCGTAGTTTAATTTATGGCATTATTTATTAGTTACAAATAACACAAAATTTTTTTATTTTTTAATACTTTAATTCGATTTAATTTTTATACCCTGCACGAAGTATATTAAATTTGAGACAAAGCTTATAACAGGCAGTAGAAAAGATTGGAGACTGTATAAAGAATATGTGTATATATATAAATATTCAGCGTGACGAGCTCAGTCGATTTAATCATGTCGTTCTGTCCGTCTGTCTGTTTCTCCGTATGTTCAACCCTATAAATGCTGTCTAGTCACTCAGTTTTTGAGATATCACTCTGAAATTTTGCACAACTTTTTATCTGCTCATTTGTCGAAACTACAGATATCGGACCACTCTGTCATATAGCTGGCATACAAACAGATATATTGAGATCAAGGCCTTGTATGGAAAACTTTTTTATTTTACTAGATATCTTCACAACATTTAGCACAGAATATTAGCTAAATAAAATCTGTAAGCTACGAGAAAAAGTTTTCAGATAGGCTCATTATAGCATATAGACCCCGTACAAACTGAACGATCAAAATCAAGTTATTATATGAAAACTTTTTTATTTGACGAGCTATCTCCACAAAATGTTCCATAACATATTGTCCATACTAATTGTAAAATTTACGAAAAACAATTCCAGATCGGTTCACTATAGCATGTAGTTGCCATACAAACGTAGGGATAAAAATCAAGTTTTGTTTTTTGACGAGACATCATCATGAAATTTTCCACAACTTATTGTCCATACTAACGGTAAAATCTCCGAAAAAAAATTGTAGATCGGTCCAATATAACATATAGCTGCCATACAAATGGTACTATCAATATCAAGTTTTTTGGTAAGCAAAAACTTTTCTATTTGTGAAGGGTATTATAGCTTCATTTGATTAATTATTATTGTTATTATTGTGTTTGTATACATTTTTATCATATCTTATTATTTTTATA